GTAGATTGGTAAATTAGTATTTTAATGTTAAGTAATTAGTTGTGCTATATACCAGTCAGGTATAGATAGTATTACTTCATCTGGTGGGGGATCACGTGGCTAAGTGGGTAAGACGCTAGCTCACTAGCCTGGAGGTCGGGTGTTCGATTCCTGCATTGACCAAGAAAGTTCATTCAGATTTTTCGGCGTGGTTCTCCCTTGTCAGTGATGCAGGACGGAGGGGCTGACAAGGAAAGCTGTCTAGTCGTTCGGATGGGACCAAAAACCGAGGTCCCGTGTACACATTGGCGTGCACGTGAAAGATCCCTTGGCAGTTGGAATTCGATATAAGAGTAGGCCGTAGTGCCGCTGTCCGAGCAAAATTTCCCTCATAGCACACTGTATGGCGTATGCCCGTCTTCATTAGCCCAGGTTAGGAGCAGAAAAGTAGGACGTTAAACTCCATTTCATTTCATTTCATTTCACTTCATCTGGTTCAGGTAGACTGAAAAGGTTAGTGCTATAAGTTTAATCATTTTAGCATTGGTGTATTCTTGTTTAGGTTTTGTTCAGCTGTTTTCCTGTATTGACGAGAGAGAGAGAGAGAGAGAGAGAGAGAGAGAGAGAGAGTTTAATGTCCACTAAACACAAACTAGGTCATTTCGGGACTAACATATGGTTTAATTTGATATCAATAATGTGCTTGCGCGTAGGGGTCTTTAGTAGTGGGAGGAAACTGGAGGACCTGGAGAAAACCCACAAGGTTGGACAGCGACCCTACTGCTTGTCACATACAACCGAGGAATTGAAACCACGCCACTTGACTCAATGACAGACCTTATGAATCCCCCCCTCCCTGTATTGGATATAAGCTGAAATTATATATTGAATGGAATGGAGTTTTTGTGTCTTGTCGACACAATACTTCCATTATTTTGAGTGAGTAAGGGGTACACAATTCTTTATAGGCATATAGTTAATAAGTGGGGGAAAAAGAGGGAAGAGCAGGATCATCGCTCTCTGGATCTGCTCATAGATACACTGCATGATAGTGTAACTGGACATATCATTAAAAACTTGATGGAAAAACGGAGGGGTTGCCCATGCTAAATAGTATCCTTGTGAGTCTGTTCATGGATACACATCGAATCTTCCTATGGATATAAATTACTGAAAGGTATTCTTGAGAGTCTGTCCATGGATAAACATTATGAGTGGTATTCTTGTAGGTATAAAAACAGAGTGGTATTTTTGTGAGTCTGTCTATGGATATAAAATTGCTGGTTGATATTCTGTCTGTCTATGGATACACATTGATGGGTGGTATTCTTGTGAGTCTACAGCTGTCCATGGATGCACATTACCAAGTGGTGCTCTTGTGTATCTGTCCATGAATACACATTATGAGTGGTATTCTTGTAAATCTGTTCATGGATACATATTACTGAGTGATATTCTTGTCCATGGATACACATTATTAGTGGTATCCTTCTGAGTCTGTCTATGGATACATATTGCTGAGTGGTATTCTTCTGAGTCTGTCCATGGATACACATTACCGTGTGGTATTCTTGTGAGTCTGTCCATGGATACACATTGCTGAGTGGTATTCTTGTGAGTCTGTCCATGGATACACATTACCGAGTGGTATTCTTGTGAGTCTGTCCATGAATTCACATTACCAAGTGATATTCTTGTGAGTCTGTCCATGGATACATATTGCTGAGTGGTATTCTTTTGAATGTCCATGGATACATATTGCTGGGTGGTATTCTTATGAGTCTGTCCATGGATACACATTGCTGAGTGGTATTCTTGTCAGTCTGTCCACGGATACATATTGCTGAGTGGTATTCTTGTGAATGTTCATGAATACATATTGCTGGGTGGTATTCTTATGAGTCTGTCCATGGATACACATTGCTGAGTGGTATTCTTGTCAGTCTGTCCACGGATACATATTGCTGAGTGGTATTGTTGTGGATGTCCATGGATACACATTACCAAGTGATATTCTTGTGAGTCTGTCCATGGATACATATTGCTGAGTGGTATTCTTTTGAATGTCCATGGATACATATTGCTGGGTGGTATTCTTATGAGTCTGTCCATGGATACACATTGCTGGGTGGTATTGTTGTGGATGTCAATGGATACACATTATGAGTAGTATTTTGTGACTCTGTCCATGGATACACATTATTACGAGTGATATTCAACTGAGTCTGTCCATGGATACACATTACTAACTGGTATATTTCTAAGCCTGTTCATGGATACACATTACTGACTGGTATATTTCTAAGCCTGTTCATTAATACACATTACTGACTGGTATATTTCTAAGCCTGTTCATGGATACACATTATATGTGGTATTCTTGTGAATGTCCATAGATACACGTTATGAGTGGTATTTTGTGAGAAATGAAATGGTTTAACCTCCTACTGTTCTGCTCCTAAACTGGGCTAATGAAGAGGGAAATTTTGCCCGGACAGCGGCACTATGACCTACTCTTATATCAAATTCCAACTGCCAAGGGATCTTTTACGTGCATCACTGACAAGGGGAAACCACGCCGGAAAATCTGGATGAACTTTCTCGGACAATGCAGGGATCGAACACCCGACCTCCAGGCTAGCGAGCCAGCGTCTTACCCACTTAGCCACCGTGTGAGTCTGTCCATGGAAACACAATACTGAGTGGTCTTCTTGTTAGTTTGTGTTTTTGTTCCGGTCAAAAGAAAATTTAAATTATCTTTCTACATCTACAACTTAATTTTCTTAGAGTCTACTTTTATAAAGTTAATCAATAGCTTTACACAGACTAAAAAAAAAGATTTAATTTGCTTAGAGAAACATGTTTTTATCTGTGTTGGTGACCTCTATTTTATAGCCCATTGTATCAGTTTGTTTGCGGGAATCTGTGTGCAAGTCTCAATAATATTCTAATTTGTTGGAAAATGCGTTCGTGATCGTGATTCTCATTTAACCATACATAATTTATTTATTCATGGTAGAGGCTTATAATTATATTAAGTGTGAATGCATTGAGTGGCATGTTTCTGTTTCTATCTCAAGGGTTATGCGTGTGATATTGGAAAAACTGTTTGTGTTTGTTTTATTAACAAGACAATGGTTTATTGGTTAAAAGCCTTGAATAGCGATTAAGAGAAAGAACAAGTAAAGTGCAAACTTATGTTCTTTTTGTTTTCGGACTATAACAAAATACGTGAAAAATTAATTGGTGAAGATTTGCAGAAAAGGAGATAAAAATTGAATGATTTTTTTAATACTATGTGCGAGAAGATGAATATAGAATTGTGAAAGGGAATCAAGTTCAGTGTTTGAAAGATTTTGTCTTGAAATATCTGATGTTGATAAATATCTTTATTTAAATAGATTTGGAACTGGGCTGTCATTTCCGTTATATTCACAGATCTTTGACTGACTGGAAATGAAATGACCAACTGAAGACTTTAGATAAGATTAGACTGGGCTCTCTTTCAAACATATTCTCAAGTCTTTGACTGACTGGCAGTGAAATGACCAACTGAAGACTTTAGATCAAATTAGACTGGGCTCTCTTTCCATCATATTCTCAAGTCTTTGACTGACTGGCAGTGAAATGACCATCTGGAGAATTTAAATAGGGATAGGATTAGACTGGGCTCTCTTTCCCTCATATCCACAAGTCTGAACTGACTGGCAGTGAAATGACCAACTAGAGAATTTAATTAGCGATAGGATTAGACTGAGCTTTCTTTCCGTCATATTCACAAGTCTCTGACTGGCTGGCAGTATACAAAATTGATCGAATGGGGAAATTACCTATAAATCAAAATACATGCCAAACTTTGGCATGTTAGAAAAGCTGCATATTTACTATGGAAAGCATTGGCAAATGACCCACAAATCTCAACAGAAAAAATAGTGCTTTTTTGGGGACAGGACAGGAAAGTGGACTTGCCCCCCCCCCCCCCCCCCCCCCCGTGGATCCCTTGGCCCCCAAACCCCTCCCCCCTTTCTCCACCAAACAAAAAACTAAAAAAAAAAATACTACAAATGGTGTTTTTCATTGAGAAATTAAGCAATCTTAATAACTCATACTAGACTTTTTGACCAACAAAGAAGTAGTTTTATGGAGAGTCAGCCAACAATGTATCCTAATTGGAACAAAATGGAGATCTACCACACGTTTAATGTGGTATTTGATTTAATATGAAACACAGGAAAAATAGCAACATGGCTTTTTAGATATGAACATGACTAACCAGGAGGTCTGGGGTTGAGAAAGACGCCATTGTCAGTGACGAAAGAACGAGAGTCTGGCAAAGAAAGGAGTCTAATAGTTTGGATGGGAGGAGAAAAAACTGAGGTCCTGTAGACCTTGGCGTGACAGTTGGAATTGTATTGTTGTCTGAGACGAAGTTTTCCCCTTAGCACAATGTATGGCGTATGCCCATCTTTATTAGCAGAAACGTAGTGAGAGTGAGAGAGAAATGGAGTTTAACGTCCACTCAACACAGACTAGGTCATTTTGGGACTAACATATGGTTTAATTTTATTTCAATAATTTGCTTGCGCGTAGGGGTCTTTAGCAGTGGGAGGAAACCGGAGGACCCGGAGAAAACCCACAAGGTTGGACAGGCAACCCTACTCCTTGTCACGTACAACAGGGGATTCAAAACCACGCCAGTTGACTCAATGACAGGCCTTATGATACAGCGTGCGCAGGCTAACCATTTGGCCATCCAACCCCCCAGCAGAAACGTAGGATGTTAAACTGCATTTAATTCATTCATTCTTGTATAACCTTGATACATCAGATATTAAATACCGACACAAGTTCCTCAATACTCCTTACGCAGGATTCACAATAAGTGGATTAGCTTACCATTGTGGAGAGACATTATATATGGATGATATTATCTCGAGAGGCCATTTTCATCATTTATTATACCGTATGATGTCTATCACATGATTTCTTTGATCTTATTATTTCTCGTCCTCTGTTTTCAGATTTAAAGAGAGAAGCCTCTATATGTCATCTGTTAAAACATTGTCATATCGTGGAACTGCTAGAAACGTATAGCTCTGATGGGATGTTATATATGGTATTTGAATAGTAAGTATAACTTTTTGTATTTAAATCAACAGAAAACAGGCCTTTTGTTTCAGCTATTTGCAGGTGGTGTTTTCATTGTATCTAGTAATACAAACTGACTGAGGCAGAATTGGTACCTGTTAATCATTTGATGCTTCTGCATACTATTTTATATATTGCCAATTAACCCTTTCACTGCGTATACCCGGTAGTAACGGGTATTATAAAATGTCGGTAAAATGCCCGTACCCGGTATTACCGTGTACTCAGTAAAGCCCTCGCTAAAATTAGTACCGTAACTGCAAGTGCCATCTATTGTATTTTCTATACACTAGAACATATTTCCACGTGTTTCAAAGCAGCAAACCGTAAAATGACGGAGTGCATTGTGACAACGTAGACGATGCACTCTCGACGAAGTCGTGAATGACGTCTTGCTGACCAACATGTGGACAATTTCGAGGCGGGTGATACACATAATTCGTTTCCAGTTACTTGATAATGATAGTAGTCAGGACAGTGATTGGTATTATGAAGTGTGTGATTTGTTGCGCGACGTTCCGCCCGTGGCTAGCTATGTCTCCCGTGCATGATGAACAAGCCCAATGTGAACACGATAGCCCTGTGTCTGCAGTAGATTCTGACAATAATTCTGATGTTGATAATAATGCTGGCTTGCTGGATCGTAAAATACGTAGGTAATTCCTGATTCCCAAACGTGTAGATCTATTGACTGACTATATTGATAATGATATGGGACTTGGGGATGAAAGTGAAAGTAAAAACAAGGTATTGCAATCCGCACGTGGTCATGGGAGCGGGAGACGTGATGCGCGTGTTCGCGGCGGCATTGCTCATGGCTGCTATTGATATTTTTGTTCATTTTATATATCTTTATCAAAATCCAGTAAAAAAAACAATATCTTTTAAGTATTTCATGGAGAAAAATTCGTTTTCGTGTTAGCTTTAGTGTGAAATGAGAAATCCAAAATGGCCACCATGACGTCACGTGACTACATTATTATGCAAATTTCCAAAATTCTATTTTTTCCTCTTAGCCCAACCTCATGCCCATCCCAACAGACAAAAAGATTTTTCATAAAAGCTTCCATAAGTACTGCTTGGCATTCAGTTCCAACCTCCCTTTTTTCCTCAAAAAAGGGTCTAGCACAGGCAGTGGATTCACGTCTAGCATTGAAAGGGTTAACACTAAATAGGGATTATTTTTTATTCTGAAACCAATTCATTCTTTTTTCTTAATTTAAAAAAATGTTTTAGAATTTTATATGCAGAATAAAACAAATTAATATTGCGAGCTAATTAAACTGGCCCTTATCAGTTAAATTGGTGGCCAAGTGAATATTGAGAAGTAATTAATAAAAAAATTAATATTGAGAGCTGATTAACTGGCCCCTATCAGTAATATTGGTGGCCAAGCGAATATTTAATGCTGATCTGTTTGATGAAGATATTGTTGAATATATGAAACAATGTTGAAAGGAGGATAGAATATGATCATTTAGAAACATTAAGTAATTGGATATATAGCAATAAATAATGACATACATATATGGAAGAATAATTACTGATTTGCTACGATATTTATGACTCTGGTCAACATCATTGTAATTTGTAAGGCTGTAGTTGATAGGTTGTTAAAACATCTGTTAACCAATATTATTTTGACACAGGATTGTTGCTCAATCTAGTATCAAAGCATTGGCCGAGAAAGTTCATCCAGATTTTCCGGCGTGGTTCCTCCTTGTTAGTGATGCAGGACTCAGGGCATTACAAGGACAGCTGTCTAGTCGTTCGAATGGAATGAAAGACCGAGGTCCTGTGTACACATTGGCATGCATGTAAAATATGCTGCTGTCCGGGAAAAATTTCCCTCATAGTACACTGTATGGCGTATGCCCGTCTTCATTAGCCCAGTTCTGAGCAGAACAGTAGAAACACCATTACATTTCATTTCATTTGTTCAATCTAGTAAGGTTTTTATTAATGTATGATTGAAAAAAAGAATGCAAGACTTCTGAGAGAAGATGCAGATTGAAAGAGACCCGGGGAAGAACGATCTAAGTCACTTTTTTAACGAACCCCAGATAATGGTGCCATCTGGTAGCAAATTGTATAAGCTTTCTGTGAAACAATCAATTTCGGGCAAAAACCATCAGAGTCACATCAAACGAAGGCCCTTCGGAAATGGCCTCTCGGACAAATATGTCCATCATAGCCTTTTTTTGGCCTTAATTTGGCTGAAAAGTGGAAGTCAGTTGTTGTACTGGTAATTATGATTCGTATTAAACATCATTTTGAAGTTGTAATTAAACCCATTCGTTGCTCAGTTCGCGTCAAGCATTCTCGTCCAAAAGTCTGTTTTGCCTTTTATGCAAAAAGACAAAAATGTGACTTAGATCGTTCTTGATCCCCTCGACTCTTAGTGTATTTATTGTATTTGTGAATCAAAATTGTTCTCAAACATTTTGCATTGTGTTAGTCTCATTAAAAACATTGATCTTCAGTTGAGATATTGAATCTCTGCAATCTAGAATATATTAAGTTGAATCTGAAAAAGAAATATTGGTCTAAAGGAGGGCTTATGTCGACTTTGCAACTCAAAGCAACTAGTTGCAGTCAGTTGCAAGTGTGCTTATATTGATCATAATCAGCAACTGAGGACAACTGAGAGCAACTGAATTCGGAGCACTGAATTTCCCTCATAGCCCACAGTATGGCGTATGCCTGTCTTCATTAGCCCAGTCGGAGCAGAATAGGAGGATATTATACCTCATTTCATTTCATTTCGTTACGTAAATTGGTCAATTTTCATTATGGCGTATGCCCGTCTTCATTAGCCCAGTCGGAGCAGAATAGGAGGATATTATACCTCATTTCATTTCATTTCATTACGTAAATTGGTCAATTTTCATTATGGCGTATGCCCGTCTTCATTAGCCCAGTCGTAGCAGAATAGGAGGATATTATACCTCATTTCATTTCATTTCATTACGTAAATTGGTCAATTTTCATACATTTTAACATGGATTAGGCCGTGAAAAAAAAGAGATATTGGCCAAAAAATGTGAATAACAATCAGCAGCTTGAAAATACAATTATAAGTTGTGAAGAATACTTCACAGACATTGAGGAACATCTGTAAGTTGTAATCGAGCTATAGATGTTCAATACAAACTCAATAAGCTCCGATTTCATATCTTCTCAAGTATCTATTACAGCTTATGGCAATCTTGTTATATTGAAAAGTACGGGCTTTCAGGTTTACCATCCATTATCTGATATTCTTAATTAACAACCATTTACCACGTCAGAAACCATATTTGAAAAGCTGATGAGAGATCTGTTATGTTCATTCATTAAGAACTTCAGAACATACATGTGTGCAATTTCAGAGAAGTTTCTTATCCAGTTTTAAGAATCGTTAATTAAACCACATATCACTTACACAATTTCAGAGAAGTTTCTTACGGCTGTCCCCCGGATCCATTCACTTGATTTGATATTTGTTTATTTGGTGCAAAGTCCTTTTTTTGTCTTGTTTTGCGTGTAGTGCAGTCCTCCTGCACGCCACTTACTATTATCCAGTTTTAAGAATCGTTAATTAATTAAACAACATATCATTGTTATATATGTCCCTGAGAAATGTTCTGGAAGTCTAATGAACATCTTTGTCAGTTCATTATGGCCGAATGGTTAGCACGTACATGCTGTATCATAAGGTCTGTAATTGAGACAACTGGCATGGTTTTGATTCCCTGATTGTACGACGTACGTGACAAGGAGTAGTGTTCGCCTGTCCAACCTCATTGTTTTTCTCCGGATCCTACGGTTTCCTCCCACTGCTAAAGACCCCTACACGCAAGTGAATTATTGAAATAAAAAAAATTGAACCATGTGTTAGTCCCCAAATGACCTGGTTTGTGTCGAGTGGATGTTAAACCCCATTTCCCTCTCTCTCTCTTATTATGGAAGATGCGGTTGCTGAGTTATTAAGGCGCACGCCCAGTTACCTGGAGATTCTAGATATTATCCCAGTTTATGGCAAAAAAATTGAGCAGTGTTGTTTCCCCGTGTCAGTGGTGCAGGATAGAAAGTTTGGCAATGAATAATGTCTTTTTTGTTCCAGATGGGATGAAAACCCCTTGTTTGATTCGATGAAGAATCAACAGAAATGTCGCTGTTCAGGCAAAATTCTCTCATAATGTCTATCTGTTCTGGACGGGATGAAAAATCCTTGTTGGAAATCAATGAAGAATCTACAGAAATGTTGCTGTTGAGGCCAAATTCTCTCATAGCACACTGAATGGCATAAGCCCAGCTTCATTAGACGGGTTGGTGCAGAAAAATAAGGAAATTAAACCCGAAATTATTCATTCATTCATTTGCTTCATTGGAACTGTTCCATTACAAGAAAACCAATCCAATGGCTTGCATTGACTGTTTGCCGCTTTAAGCAATAAGAACTAAAACCTGTTTTATTTCATTTTGTCAAATTAGCAACTGATTTCCAACTGCCAAGGGATCTTTACTGTGGGTGTTGTTTTTTTACCTTCTAATGTTGATACTGCATGATGATTCTGTGTTTGACTTGTCGCAGCTAAGCCAATTAAATAACAAGGCATGTCAAAAGCCTTGAAGCCAAGACTGCTTTATATTTTAATATGCCATACAAGCAATATTTGTCCTATCATTTATTGCTTCATAACTGGGGTTTAGGTGTCAGTGATTCTATTGGTCATGATTGCCACTTACTTTAGCTGACAGACTTTAAATTGTGACGGAACCCTTGGGCTGTTAATAACGATGATATTTACAACGGTAATCAGAAATCATGCGGGTAATTTCACATATCAGGAAATTCGGTGTTCCTTCCATAGCCTGTGGTCTGTCTGGATTATCTAGGCTAGCGTTATTTCTTAAATGCTTACTGAATATACAGGAAGTCAGAAGAGTCTGGATGTTTTTAGTGAACGTGTGGGTCTCAAAAGCCCCCGTCTTCT